GAAAAGTTATTTATTATATATTATAACCTAAATATTGATATGAAAATATATTTATTATATCTCGCGATGAAGTATAAGAACTACATTTTTATATTAATATTTCATGAGAGATTAAATATAAAAAAGTAAGAGAAGTAAGTATAGCAATAAAACAACAACAACAAAAAGGTTACATACACCGAGCATAAATTGCAATTAATAAAGCACAACTTAAAAAGAAGGACTTATCACCATTACCTGTTTTCAAACGTTTGGAAGCCAAGTGTTTTTGAATCTTTCAAAGTTGTGATTTTTGTTGTTGTGATTTTTCTTACGGGTTGACCTCCCCTTTCAAGCTCTAGGTTGAACAGTCCCTCCAAATAGTCTGACATAGTTTTATGGTTGGAAGCTGGTACTGTAGAGAATCATAATAATGAAAAATCCAAATAGGAATTCTCTTTCCTATCTTTAATTTCATGTTTTAGTAATAAATTTAAACACTTATAAATAAATTTCAAATTAATTAACGAATTACTTAATTAATTAACATTACATGTTTGAGCTCGAAAAGAGTCAAGTGACCACAATGTTAACAGGAGAAGCTTGCATTATAAATCACTAGGTGGAGCTGTTTGGAAGTTCGCGCAAAGCTACACGAGGGTTATATGCGCTAGCCGTCCCTAATTTAGCAGTGAAAGACTAGAGGGAAGGCAGCTATTCATCACCACCCACCATCAACTCTTGGGCTACTCTTTTACCAACGAATAGTGGGATTGAGCGTCACATTATAATGTTCCAACAGCTGAAAGGGCGAGCATGTTTGGTGAGACGAGGGATTTGAACCAGCGACCCTCAGATTGCGAGTCGAGTACTGTAACCATCTGGCCATGCCGGGTTTACCTGCGTTAGTAATTATAAGAACCTATGAGTGAAAGTAAAAACTAATATCAACTATACTATATCTGCTATATGCAGTGCCGACGAAGCCTTGTGCCCAGTACCATGGCTCACTAGCAGGTTGTGATACAACAAACATTGTAGTGGTCGAGACATCATCAAGTACCATGGCTCACCAGCAGGTTGTGATACAACAAACATAGTAGTGGTCGAGACATCATCAAGTACCATGGCTCACCAGCAGGTTGTGATACAACAAACATAGTAGTGGTCGAGACATCATCAAGTACCATGGCTCACCAGCAGGTTGTGATACAACAAACCTAATAGTGGTCGAGACATCATCAAGTACCATGGCTCACCAACAGGTTGTGATACAACAAACATAGTAGTGGTCGAGACATCATCAATTGCTTGAGCTGCAAATGTTTCGATGATCATTAGGTAAGCTACTGAGCTGATTATAAATCAGATCAAAAATGTCATTAACGACAGGGTGTTTCAAAACCGAATTATATTGTGAACTAGCATTGTTTTTTTTATTTCTTGTCATTCTCTGGTAGCCTAGTGGTTGGCGTGTTCAACACTTTGGGAGCGAAAACTATTCAATCAGACAAGAGTAGCTCAAGAGTCTATCTTTTAAAAACAGGTATATGCAGGTAGCTCTTTGGGTGAAAATGCTGTAAAAAAATCGTTATCTCTCTTTCTGATTTGAATAACACTATATATTTATTATAAGTAAAACACAAACTCACCAAGCAAATTTCTTAAGGTTGCATCCCCACAGTAATTCGCAAAAGCTTGAGATAATCTTTCGCATTCCAATTCTTCTTTGGTCTTCTGCTTCCGCAAAGGAGTAGAAGTATCCGTTGTTTGTGTTGAGCTGCTTATTCTGTTGTTGCTGGACAAACTATCTGTATTATTTGTTGCAGGTATATACATAGCGTTATGCTCATGGTGTGCTCTACTTTCCTCTTTTACAAAACCATTTTCTTTTTTTTTCGATTTTACAGTACGATTAGTGGAGTAAGATTGTGATGCTTGTTCTGATGCTGACAGTAAGCCTTCAGGTACGCACGAGGAACTATGTTTCGCTTTATCTATAGGGCAAATGTTGGAATACGTAGGTGACATCTGGTGTTTGGTGTTGCTTCCGACAGATGAAAGAGTTTCTTTTGGTATTGGGGAAAGTATGAAAAGCGTACTGATATTAGAATCAATTTGTGACGTTTTTTGTCCATTAATATTCTCAGCAGATAGTGTATCTTCTAGCACTGGAAGCGAATTCGGTTCTCTCTCGTATTCAATGTTATTACTTTTATACTTAGTAATATTCTCAGTAAGTGATGTGTCTTCTGGAAATGGGGACGAATTCAATTCTCTTTCATGTTCAGGATTATTAACTGAACAATCTAGTGACATCTTGAACTTAGCAATGTCTTCAGTAGATGGTATGTCTTCTGCCAGTGGTGTAGAATTCAGTTCTTTCTTGTGCCTAGAACTATTACTTGGATAAATTGGTAATATCTTAATCTTGGTTATACTTTCAGCAGATGATGCATTTTCGGGAACTGTGGAAACATTCATTTCTTTCTGGTGTCCACTGGCATTATAAGAATAAACTGGTACTTTCTTGTTCGTAGATGATGCATTTCCTGGAACTGGAAAGTAATTCAGCTCTTTCTCGTGCTCAATATCATTAGATGAATAAATTGGTAATAATTTTTTCTTAGTAACGTTCTCAATAGATGATGCATCTTCTATAGATGGGAAAAAGTTTAATTCTCTTTTATGCCCAGTGGTATTATTTGAATGAACTTCTGAAACCTTATACTTAGTAGTTTTCTCAGTACATTGTGTGTCTTCTGGCACTGTGGTGGAATTCTGTTCCTTTTCATGCAAGTTATTGAAGTTGGTTGTAGGTAATGAGCCTTCTCGCACTGGGGAGGAATCATTTTCTGTCTCGTGCCCACTGCTACTGTTCAAGTAAGCTGATGCGGTTTTGTGCTTAGTATTAAATGGTGTGTCTTTTGGAACAGAACTGTGTTCTTTTTTTGAGTGAACACTACTGAGGTTAAAATAAGTTGACGACAGACCATCAACACTGCTGACTTCATGAGAAGACGGCGATACAATCTCCTGTTTAGAGAGGGGTATATTAACATAGATGGGTGACGTCATTTCTTCTCTTAGTTCCGAAATATTTTGATAACTGCTCTCACTGATTCTACTCAAAGGCTTTTTTAGAACGTTAACACAGTTGCTATTTGAATATGTATTAAGTGAGTAATCGAGACTGTTTGAGCCTGATATTGAACTAAATGAAATCGAGCTACTATGTTCCGAAAATATACAACTTTCAGAAGACGAAGTAGATATCAGTTGGCGTCTTGAACTTGACAAGTCTTGACTAGGTGAAACGTGTACAGGCGTCAGACCATTTGACTTCGCTACAGATGAAGATTCAGAGAATGGGTGATACAATACCAAACAATCACTTCTCAACAAGTCGGCAGGTGATTGATCATTTTTTTTGGTGCTCATACTTTTGTGATCTTGAAAGAGGTTATCCTCTGATGCTTTCGTCTTGGTAATTGCACCGTGACAGTCGGGATCATTATTATCTCTAATCACATTGATACTGAGTTTTCTTTCCGAAAGGTTAGGCTTAACACTAAAAGTAGGGGAGATACAGCGTGAATGGCATGGGATCGTGTTTTCTTGCTTGCTATCAAGAAAATGATCATTTTGAGAACACTGAATAACATTGAGGTTTTCAAGCTGAGATGGCAAGGAACCAGGAAAGTGCAAAGGAGAAACGGTATTACTCTCTTTACCAAACTGATTTTCTCGAGATTTCTCAGCTACATTATGCAGCCCAGGATGTTTTCTTGTGACGCTAGAAGAATCATAAAACCTAGAAGCACTCTGGTTTGTATACGCACTCTGATGTGTCATATACCCTTTAACTTGAGGAGGTAAATGTCCTTTGGATGGTGGAGAAAGTTGGAGTCGATGAGCCATGACGTTTCTCGTACTTCTTTCTGTGTTGTATTTCTTATCTTTAGATTCACTTTTGTGAGACATACAGGAAGTCTGGTATGGATTCCTGTTAAGAGAAAACAGTTTTATTTGTTGAATTCACATTTACAATAAACAAAAGTTTTAATTTTTATATAGTAAAGAAACGAATTAAATGATTTAGCTCTATTTTTATTCAACTGTACAATTATGAATTGTACAGTGAACTCATTAAAACGTTCCATTTAATGTACTAGTATTTCCATTTATTGATCAACGGACAGTGAACAAAGTAAACATTTTTTTAATTGGCCCAATATTTTTCACATATTAACAGTATTTGTAGACCATCGTAATACAAACGTACAATTCATTTATTTTGATCTATCCTTTAGAGTTACCAGTTTGTTTGGAAAGTGAATTTTATTAAAACAATTTGTTCTGTATTACAATAAATATGAATCTGCAGTATTTTATTCACTTTTAGTTAATCAACAATGGGCTATATGTGCTGTATCTAATGCAGGAACCGAACCCCAAATTTTAGCGTTATAAGCTTTCAAGTCACAAGGAGGTGAAACTGTAGTATAAACAGCAAAAAAAAAACATAAAGTAAAATAAATGAAAATATAACAAATATCATATGTTGGTAAAATACGAATGTGTGATCGTGAAATGGTTGTTGCAGCTTTGTTTAAATATAAATATAAATAACTTATCAGAATAAAAATTAAATTGAAACTAACAATTATGATATCGTGTTTTCATTGAAAGAAACAAGAACTTATACACGATTCCGCATTGTTACACTGGTTGTTATTTTTGTGAAACATGGAAACGTTGTGAACATGTATACCTTTGTGTAAGAAAATTTATTATTCTATAAATTATGTATTAAACACCTTCAACGGACACGTTACTGATCGATATCGGTTTGTGGAACGGTAATATTTGTAATACCGTTCCACAAATATAAATAACAGGAGAAAAATGTAGTTCATTCTTATTCATATGTTATTCAGAAATACAACGAAAGAAAATTAATTTTAAATGAGCTGAAATGTGAGATATTTCCTTTTGTCCACATATATGTGAAGTATGATATAAACCGAAGATAGTAAAATATGTATATACAATGAAGTGTTGAAAAACGATCATCACATTACATACGTGCTCGTGGTAGCAGTAACGATCATGTCTATTTCAAAAGGATCGGGTGGCGGAGGTAGGGGATCACTTGAGGGCTGGACCATAATATCTTCTGTTTGAGGAGGAGGTGGAAGTGGGAGCTCTGGGCTGGGACAAATTGATGTTTTTTCCTGTGGTATTAAATGACGAGTCTGAATTGTTGTAATTCGCTCAAGCTCAACAGCTTCTCTTCCACTATTGTTATTGCTTGCTTGGTATTCATTTTCTTGATCAGGAGTTGGTGTAGGTGGAAGAGGGCGTGAAGAACGTTGTTTGGTAGGTGAAACACGGAGATTCGTAACAAGTATCGTTGGTTTGGCCTTACAGGTGTCGCTAGTATTCAATGTTACAGTGCCATCCTCAGTAATGACCCTTACTGTAGATATATTATTTGAATGATGGGTTTCCTCTAGTTGGGCTTTACGTAGTGTCTTCTGAAAACTAAAATAAAATGTTTTATTAACCATAAAGATCATTAAAGTTATAACTGGATACAAATTAAAATAAAACTAATCTCTACCGCATTCAACACTTAAAGAAAACTTCTTTAACAAAGATACGAAGAATCAGATTTGATGTTGACACAGAACTTCTCTTTCATATAATTTGGAAAAACATCATAAGCTGAGACAGATTGAGTATAAACTGTTATGTAGATACGGCATGAAAGCCAGTATATTATTGCATAGGGAAACATAATAAATATGATTATTTGATCTCTAGTTTTCTTAAGAAAATACTAAACTTTCATACACTACGCTGAATAACTGTTATTAGTCAGACTACTAGCTAGTTCGTACTGTGGTAAATTATTGGAATTTCATCTTATGCATTGGGAATGATATTCAAGAGCAGAACTAATAGAGAACTGCTTTAAGGGGTAAAACAAAATCACAGAGTGCAAACCTAACTCGTAACTGTATAAATATAAACAAATGGGACCAACTACGAAAACAGAACTTTAACATTGAGTCTCATAAACTACCCCCCCCCCCCTCCTTAGTAGATCAGAGGTAATTTTATGGAGTTACAATGATGCTAAATTCCTAGGTTCGATTCGCCGTGGTGGACAGAGCGCAGATAGCCCATTATGTGCTTTTGCACTAAAGCAAGGAAGCAGCCAAATCATAAACTCAAAGAAAATAAACATTTTGACATTGAAAATAAATATGTGGTTCAACAACGTCAGATTTGACAACATTTTCACATTGCAAAGTCCAAATCATGATTTTTATTTATTTCCACATTCAGATTTGTTTTTACTCCATAGTGGCTCAAAAGTGGGCTTATAACGTAAACATTCGGGCACAGAACCAACAGTCAATTGTGTAGCTTTCTGCTTAACAACAACAAAACAAAACAAGCAACATTTTTAAAATTAAATTTGAACCATATATGTTAATGATATATTAAATTCTCATAAATATGAACTATCAAAAGTCATTGAACTTTTCTGTAACTTTATTCGTTATTTGTTTTAAGTTTAAACTCAAATACACTTTGCCACTGTAACACTCCCTTCATTGAAACCTTTGGTTACTTTTGATATATATAAGTACTCGAGAATATTTCAACGCTTACAGTTAACGTAGCATATAAACATTTCTTTTTATTCCATTCTCCATACCATTCATAATTATTTCACTTTTATATAATTTACAATTTTATCTGTTTAGGAAGTCCTACCTTTATTTAAAAACTGTATAATATTTATTGTTTGTAAAGTATTAATGCTGAATGTAATCAAACATTCTCATATTAAACGTATATCAGTTTTTCATAACTAAAGTACCGCTAACACATTATATTCATAGGATTTTAAATTTGTAAATAACGTTTTGTTTTCTTTTTCACTCGAAGTTTTGCCTTTATAGGTCTGGCATTCAGGGATATTGTTTCAAGGATCACTTAGGTCCTTAATTTAATCCAGGTTAAGCGTGCGAATGGATGCAAAAGATTAATAAAAATTAATCACTTTCAGTACATAGAGTGTTTTATGGCTCTTTCAAAACATTAATAGTTAACGTCCTTTCATTAAAGGCAAGGCAATGATGTAGGTTCGTAATTAAATTTCTTCTGAGCACCACTTTCCGTCGTAACTCAATATTACTACTATAAAACTATAACAAAAGACGACATATCTGTTTATCACTGTTTCAATGGTAACAGAAGAGAGAGCATAAAACACAAAAATCTGAGAAAACTTGTGTTATTACCTTTTCAAACATACTTATAGGTCAACGGTAAAATATATTATATGTTCAGAACCTTCATATAAACATCTACGTTGCTAACTGACGGTAATTCGTTTTCTTGATTTGTACATTATAAATGAAGAGACCATGACAACTAGTATATAAAGAATGGAGTAATAAGACTCTGAAATTGATCACGTTTCTCAAGGGTTTAGTTTATTTGGTTTGTTATGAATTTCGCGCAAAGCTACACGAGGGCTATCTGCGCTAGCCGTCCCTAGTGTAAGACTAGAGGGAAGGCAGCTAGTAATCACCGCCGATTCTTGGGCTACTCTTTATCCAACGAACAGTGGGATTGACCGTCACATTATAATGTCTCCACGGCAGAAAGGGCGAGCATGTTTGGTACGACGGGAATTCGAACCCGCAGATTGTGAGTCGAGGGCCCTAACCACCTGGCCATGCCGGGCCGTTTCTCAAGGGACAAGACAAGAAAGAGTATTCGGTTTCTTATAATTTTTATAACCAACTACTTAAAATTCAAACACCAGATAAAACGTTTTTAATTAATTAGAAAAATCCATATAGTTAACAACAGTGTGCACAGAGTACGACTACAATATTCTTACAAATATTAGGGTTATTTCTTTAAAGTAAACCATGAAACGTTATTCAGATAATAAACAGGGTTAATGTCTTCTCTTACTTATCAAGCTTAAATTATTTCCGAAGATGGGTACTCAACTTATTCAGAAGGTATTGAGCAGCATAATTATTGTGGAAGCATGCAGGCAACCCAATGAAAACCTTAAGTAATTTCAGAAACAATAAGGTTTTTCGTAGCCTAAGGAGCAGAGTACACAAAATCTCTGTCAACTGTATGGAGTTGTATTTAAATTCATTTAATTCAAAGCCTTTCTCTAAGAATCTAGATTTCATTACTAGCTTATAACTATGTATCTTCAATGTATAGACAACAATCTCATAAGTATTCGAAGTTTCATCAAGAAGTTTTCTTTTTGTTTTGCATTTCGGGCAAAGTTACACGAACGCTATCTGCGCTAGCCGTTCCTAATTTAGCAGTGAAAGGCTAGAGGGAAAGCAGATAGTCATCACCACCCACCGCCATCACTTAGACTACTCCTTTACCAACAAATAGTGGGATTGATCGTCCCATTATAACGCCCCCACGGCTGAAAGGGCGAGCATGTTTGGTGGAACGGACATCAAGAAGTTACAGAAACTGATTTTAAAAAGATTATTGTGATTTAGAATGTCTTGTTAAGTTTAAGAAACGTGTGGAGGAACATAAACTCATAATCACTAATATCAAATAATCTGAAACAAATGTGAAAATACTCGGTAAAATGTAAAATATAAGCGTACTTGAAAGTTACTAGTTTGTTTGTTTTGAATTTCGCGCAAAGATACACGAGGGCTATCTGCGCTAGCCGCCTCTAATTGAGAAGTGTAAGACTAGAGGGAAGGCAGCTAGTCAGCACCACTCACCGCCAACTCTTGGACTACTAGTTTACTAACCAATAGTGGGATTGACCGTCACATTATGACGCCCCCACGGCTGAAAGGGCGAGCATGTTTGGTGGGACGGGGATTCGAAATCGCGACCCTCAGATTGCGAATCGAGCGCCCTAACCACCTGGTCATGCCGGGCCAAAGTTACTAGTATAAATGTCAAAATAAGACTTACTTATTGGATCTAAAGAAACTGCATCTAAAAAGGAACGGGTTAATTTTATACATTTGGCTTTAAGATAAGCATACAAAGTTATTTCCCTTCATTCCTAAAACTTTGAAAAGCGAACCATTGTTCAGAATTGTCAGGTTTTTTTATGTAAAATAATTCAAATCGTGTGACTTTTCTGCAACAAAATTATCAACGCCATTTTTTTAAATTCATGAAATTAACATTTAAAAATAAATAATCCAGGGGAATCGTGTCTAAACGTAAAAGAGCTAAAGAAACATTAAAGAATCTTTATACTATTACATAAAGTTATAAGTTTATCATTACTTCCAGTGAGCGGATAATACGAAACACTGAAAATTTACATGTAATTAATATATAATGTGCAGAAACGTAAAAGATACATCGAGCGCCTGTATTTTTCACTAACTTCAGACTTTTTTTCATTGATTTGAAAAAGACAACAACTTCAACTGTGTAAGCAATTACGAGACACCACACACTTGATCGTGAGGCCTAAGTAGCTGAACAGATTCATTCGATCCAGTGGTAAAATCGATAACCGTCCATCGTGACAACACTCGGTAACAAGGCTGAGCCAAGGTAGAGCTCGCATTTCTCGTAAGCAGAAGGGAAGAAACAAATTCACTATGCAAACTCCATTAGAGAAAAAAAAAGTTTTAGGTTAATATTATTGTAAAGAAAAGAAGGACGCTATTTTTGAAAACTTTACTAGTAGTTTTATAAATAAAGGAAATTAACTTTATGTGCCATATCGAAACTCTTGCAATGTAAAAAAACAACAACACAAAAAACAAAGCCTATTTATAGATAGACCCCCTCACACCAACCATACGTAAGGACGGTTATTAGATTTGTCAATAATTCTACATAATGTCTCATTGGTATTGTCTCTAAGAAAAACATTGAGGTTTAGTAGGATAAATGAGAACTGATCAAACTTTCAGACAAGAAACAAAATAACACATCAATATAAGAACTTCATATAAAGTAATAATGTAAAACTATGGTGACGAAGAAAGTATGGTTCAACACGAACCTGTAAAAAGTAACACCGTCAGAAAATTGAAGGAATATGGTTCAACACGAACCTGTAAAAAGTAACACCGTCAGAAAATTGAAGAAACTGACATTACATAACTTTGGTTCGTAATTTTTTTGCGCAGCGCTACATAACTACGTATAGCCGTACTTATTTTTAAACTGACAGACTGAAGGAGAGGCAAACTAGTCAACAGTCATTCTTATAGCGCACTCCCATGCAGAGTATAGTCCAGGCACGCTAACAAATAAGCCACACCTTGTCCAATATCACTTGGAAGAAAAATGTAGAAATAATTTTAGGATAAATATTACAATGTGTTTATTGAATTGTCATTTGAAGTTGGATACGAATAATTTATTAGCATCATATTATAATGGAGCTTGCGATGTATACGAAACCTCGGAAACTACCGTACCGATCATAACCATTTTATAACTAGGTAATATTTTTACAGCTGAGCAATAAATCAAACAAT